ATTCACTCCGTTGAAATCACAAAATGAAATGCACTGACTTAGAAATATTTACTTACTAGTCCATCAACAAGATCATTAGGTCAACATCACTGTTGCATTCAGTGCTGCTTTTTTAGCTCGTGCCAAAGATGAAAAGCCCCATCTATGGAAAAGCCTGACTGAGTGGGACTCTTGTCCAGTTCCTCATGTGGTCAGATTATCTTTTCCTTTTCCTAGTCTCTTCTGACCATGTTTTCTTTGCTTTTCAATCTTCGAGTATCTTCGAGCCTGGAAAGTGTCTTAAAGCCTCATGTTGTTGTTGATGTGTGTGACGTCGTTGCCGTAAAGCATGTCGTGATTCTCGCGAGATTCGTCGGGGGCGCTCCTATTAAACTTGCATTGCTGTTTTCTCCAGTAAACCCCCCCCCCCCCCCCAAGCTTTAATACCAGGATGATTCCCCCTACTATGAGTTTGTTTACCACCGAAATGACTTTGAAGCTGTTATATTAAGGTACAATTCTTGCATAGTGTGCCTTCAAGGTTATGAGCGAGAGGGGCGAAGAGAAATTTATTTTTTCCAATTTATGTTCGCATTTCATCACTCTCTTACTCTTTATTGAGTCAGTTTTCTGGCTCTTCATTTTGCCTTCTTATACTCCCAATAAACCCAATCATCTTTCCTTCTATTTTGTTCCCTGAAGCCTTATCTCAACTTTATACTATTCTGGCAAACCTTTCACTTTCTCCCACTTACTTTGCCTTCTTTGTTTATCATCAAGAGAAAAACTTCAGGGTAGCCTAAACCGACAGTCTGCCTCATTAAGTATTATCATTAATCACTTAATCATTCACAGCATTTGCTTGGCATTAGCTAATTAGTGTGAGCTCTGTGACCGATTTTTGAGAGGGCCTGAGAAGTCATCCATCCATATTGAAGAATATTCACCTGCTTTAACTCTGTAATTGTTCTGAGAGCTGAGATCAGTTATCCTAACATTATTATACTGGATAGATCCAGGTTATCTCACAATTTCAAGGCATATGAGCCATAAAGGTTTTGTTCTATTACACTGACCACCTTATCAGCAGCCCTTTGACTGACAATCATCAATTACAGGGAAGAAATCTTATTATGTGATGGTTTTGTCAATGTGTCAACTTTCCATATTCATTTAATTTTAAGCCTGTTCCATTGACCGAGCTGATGTGGAACAGCAGACACACTCACACAGAAGCTTCAAAACGTAGTGTTTGAACGCATACTATATTTCTACTTGAGCTGTTAAGCTTGATCTTCCAGAAAAAGCTTCCAATGACAAGAACGATTCCTCTCCACCTCAGAATATATTTTGTACAACTCCAGCATTGCACTCTCGCGCACACCTGTTATTATGCTGCATTTTCTAAAGCATGCTTGAGGCCACAAAAAAGAAAGAAGAAAATCCTCCTTCACAAGTGTGCAAATGCAGATTTTCCGGCATCTCTCTGGCTGTGACCTCAGCTCTCGCAGGAGTCTTAGAGAGGCTTATGTGCTCAAAATCCAGAGACATTTTCTGTACTTTTTGCATTTGGGAACAAACCCTCTCAAGCCGGCAGAACTGTGCGCTGTCGTGGAACCGCCATTTAATTACAGAGCAGGTCGGTTTAAATGTCCTCGGTTACAGAGACAGATGTTGGACACAGTTAGTCATCTGTAAAACTCTTTTATCCAAGCCTTTTGTCACTGGAGTCTCATCTCATTCAACTGTAACGATGGCTGTCTGTGTCGAGATTACAATAATAAAATGTCACGCCTTTTCATGTATCACTGGTAATCAGTTGTGAAGGGGGGTACATGTGCGCTTCAAATTTCCAGCTACACTGCTATCCCGTTAAATCATATTTCACAGGTCCCTTGATTGTCACTTATTCTCAACAAGCTTTGCTCGCCATGCTTTCTCTGACAGAGGACAGCGAATAATGAACTAACTCAATGAACCATGCCTTACAGCAGGCCAGGGATTCATACACTTTTTGTCAGTCAAACCTCTGCCATAAAAAATGTAGGCCTACTCCTTTTAGTTAATATTTTATTCATTCAACATGTTGGCAAGAAAACATGAAATATATATTATTTATTTACATTTTTTTATGATTTAAGTAATTATTAGCTTTTCAACTCTAACACCCACCCCCCCGCAGTTCCCTTACTAACCCCAAGGGACCCTAGTTTGGGAAACCCACAGAATTCAGAGCCAAAGGCATTTTAAAGTGTATATCCTTAATGCTATTAATATTTGCACTGTCAGACAACTGAATAATAATAATAATAATAATAAAAAACTGAATAGCAACAATTTGCTTAATATGACAAGGTGTTAAAATCCTTGAATCATAGTCCCAGCAACATAATTACGAGTTGTTGCATTATTACAGATTGGCACATAAAAGAAACTGCAAAAGAAACTGTGAATGTATGAATGGAACTGTAAAATAATTGTTTTCAAACAGCTTGCTGATTTAAAGATAAAATTAGCAACACCTACATACTGTGTGGATTTTTTTTAAACCAGACAGTGTAAAAATTACAATAAATTACTAAAATAAACTGTAAATTGGCTAACTATGGCTACAACACACGATTAATATTATACTTACTGAACAATATTGTTTAAAAGGTTTTAAGTAAAAAGGTATCACCTAATAATTTAATACACAGAAGTATCCATTTGTTGTGAGTAATGTTGGAGTGTTTAATGTTACATTTTATGCCATTTAGTTAATAGTATAATATGAATATAGCCTACAATATTTGTGTATAGCCTAGCTACCTAATTCCACTAGTGATTAGAAAAAGGCTGTTTATAAATGTACTGTATTTTACACTCATATGGCTGAGGTTAAATAAAACGAGCGCCTAATGAGAATGAGAGATGATGACACAAGTCTAAAATTCTGCATTTCTTTTAAAAAGTGTATTTTGCGCTCCACTGAATTGTGTAATAGCCAGTGGCGTCATGCCCATTCAAAGTGAGGGGGCACGTGCCCCCTCAGATTTTTCCTCCCTGATAATTTTTTTTAAATTCTTTTAAAATGTATTTTAATTTTTTCCCTGATTCCTTTATTCCTATCATGCTCCATAATTACCAGAGCCTATAACGACTCAAATATATTCTTTTTCTTGATGTGTAATAATAAATCGGTCAGCATTAGCCCGCCCGTTTTTCCTAATATGGTGTCTGTATATCAAATCTACGCGCGTAGAGCTTTACGCTTTAGAAGAATATTTGCTGTGTATGTTCCGGCGGTACAAGCAGCTCGCACGTTGAACTGGCAATGTTTTACGAGTGGTAAGTTGGAAATGCAACAAATCGGCATTGAATTAGTAATCGGATGATATTAAAAGGTAGTGGGATTATTTATGGTTGACCTGGACATTTTAACTTGATCAAAAGTTATGGAATTGATATTAGCTGCGTATTCAGAGCATTAACAATGTTATGCAGTGTTATCAGCTAGCCTAGTCTAACCGTAAACTATTGGCTAACGTTACTGCCTGCCATACAAAACTCTTGCAACTTGCTCTCTCCCACCCTCGCACATATTATTAATCAAAATAAATCGACACGGTGGTAAAAGGTCGGAAGATGAAAGTTTAATGTGGAGCATTCTGTGTTTCCCCCCCTTATTTCCCGCTGGGTGTGAATTGTGCTAAATAAGTTGCCTTATCTTCTCTGAGAAGCGTTCTGGACATTCAGCTGACATAAACATGACATCCATCCATGTCCTAACAGCTAGGATAATCACACAACGCGCATAACACGTCCAATTCGCGAACTAATGACTCCTTTGAACCGATTCATTTTAATGAATGGTTAAAACAACTGATCTTTCCAACAGTGAACTCGGGAGACGTCTGAATCGGTGTATAACTAATCAGTAACACTTTACAATAATGTTCTATTTATTACTTGAATTACATAAAAAGTACAGTTTGCTTAGGCTACTCAAGCTTAAGATTTAAAAAATAAAAAAAAAGCACATGACTACATTTTTCCACACAATGCTATCAAGAATCAATAAGAGAATCGTTAAAGAATCTGATTCTGATTCTAAAGAATCGGATCGATAAACAGAACGTCATTGCCATTATTATTGTTAAAATCTTATCAATTCCATCCATATGGTAAGACAGTAAAATTATAATGTTAAAGAACATACATGTTTTTTAATAGTTTTTTTGAGAGTTAAAAGATTATAACATTTCGCTAACATGAGGTCTGTCACTGTCAGTCTTTTTACATCAGTGCAAAACTAGGGTACGCAGATTAAGACCACTATTCATCAGCATGCACTGATTTATCCCATGGCATGTAGAAAAGAAAAAAAAGGTGCGACAAAATCATATGCTCAAATAAACAGGGTAGTGTTAACCTTATTCAGCACTGAAATCTGTCAAACGTCTTTCAAAGTCCTTCATCACATATTGATATTAAAATAACTTAATTTCAGAGAACCACAAAGTCAGACCTTAGCCCCTTTATATACCTTTAATGTAAGATCGTTCTTAGGTCACATACCTATTTAAAATCATAACATAAAAACTGCAATGGTACTGTTTTTAAAAACGTGTGTAGAAGGCCTAAGTGTACAGTAAGTGTGTCGGTAAATATGCTTTAATTAGTAGACTTTAAAAGCTTTTGAATTTGAGCTTACAGTTCTTTCATCAACCTGTCTTTTACATAAACTTACAAAAAAAGATACTTTAACTTAGTCCTCAGATAGAGGAGGGTTGCTGCTAGCTCCGTTAAGGTATTTCTGTCCCTCCCAAACTGCATTGAAATGGTATGTTTAGGAGCCAGAATTTAAAAAAATTTCAGGGGGAGAAACCCCCTGACCCCCCCTAACATGATCAACTCATCAGGAAACAATTGCAACGTCTCAGATTGTGCCCCCCCAGAATTTTGGCTTGCATGACGCCCCTGGTAATAGCTGTGAACGGATTCTAAAGGCCAACTGTAAGAGTGCAGTGTGTTTTCACCTTTATGAGTTTACACCTGATTTGCGCGGACACCATATGGCTGTTCCTCAGATTTCCCACGCGGAACATTAAGCAGAGTTTCCCGTCTCGCTGTGAGATCACCGAGTCCTGGCTGAACATGAGCGTCTCCGCGCGCTTCTTGGGCTGAGACATCTTAATGAACATACAGCCGATGAGAAACGCGTCCACTATCGAACCCAGCAAAGACTGGAACAGGAACAGGATTATGCCCTCAGGGCACTTCTCAGTTATATAGCGGTAACCGTAGCCAATGGTCGCCTCGGTCTCAATGAAAAAGAGGAACGCTGACGGGAAGTTGTAAACATTTGCGACGCACGGAGTGTACGAAGCGTCACGGCCATGATTTATGTCCCCTCTTATATAGGCGATGATCCACCACATCGAGGCCATGACCAGCCAGGCGATGGTGTAGGTGAGGATGAAGATGAGAAGGTTCCAGCGCCACTTCAAGTCCACCAGCGTGGTGAACAGGTCGGACAAATAGCGGCTGGTCTCTCCGCCGAGGTTCCCGTGCTGGACGTTGCAGCGTCCGTTCTTCTCCACAAAGCGCTGGCGCTTCTTCTTCACCGGCGCGATGGGGAAAGTCGCGGCTCTGTTCGTGTTCACCACCTGGTAGTCCTCTCCAAATTTACGCCTTAGCGCTGCCATAACTTCAGCACGTTTGTTTCATGAAAACGGTGGGAAGGGGTTCATAAGTTTAAAAAACAAAACAAAAAGGAAACTTACTTTCTCTGTAGCATGGCTTTGGTGCCTTTTTCACTTTCAAAAGTAGCTGACAAGGTCGCCAGGCAGGGCAATATATCTGCCAAGTTTCCCCCCCACCCTCCTTAATCTGGACTGTAAAATGTAGTCCGAAAAGCTGAAGGTGCACCCCTGCTATAATGTCAGTTTACTGTGGCATTGCTCTAGTCTCTCTTCTGGTCGGGTTTCTCTGGATGTCCATATGAAGTGCACGGGCTGTGTTCTCTGAACACTTTCAGCTCTTCTGCACATGATATGGCATGAACAGCAGAAGAAGAAATGGAAGAGAAGAGAGAGTGGGTGTGAGAGACGGACTGGTGGGAGGAGGGGGCTTAATGTGTGAGCGAAATACTATATTCACACTGGAAAAGAAGCTGGTCTGTATCCTGAACGATATGAGGACAGAATGTCCCCCACAAAGATGGAAATAGCTAATAAATCAAGTGATGGTTTTTTTTGTTTTTTGTTTTTTGAAAATTTCATTAAACATTTATGAAAGTTGTCTGTGATGGGAAGTTAGAGTTAGGGGATATTACCCGTAGCTATAGGCTGCATGCATGGAAAGTCCTCAAAAACGTGAAAACCCAACATGTGTGTGTATTGGCGTGTGTGTGGCCTAAACCTTAAATTATTAGCCGTACAAAAAAGATGCCAATGCAAAACCGTATACTGTAACTGGTTAGTGTAAGGGAGAATATAGCCTAGCTACAGTTTGTAAGACTAAAATTGTATGGAAAGTCCCCATAAACCATAAAAAATAAAACGTGTGTGTGTGTGTGTGTGTGTGTGTGTGTGTGTGTGTGTGTGTGTGTGTGTGTGTGTGTGTGTGTGTGTGTGTGTGTGTGTGTGTGTGTGTGTGTGTGTGTGTGTGTGTGTGTGTGTGTGTGTGTGTGTGTGTGTTTCCCGGCATTGGGAAGAAGATTGGATTTCCAGTCCAATGTAGAAATAGCCTAATCAATAGGAATACGATGCTCGGTCGGTCTGGTGTCCTGGTAAAGCTGACACAATGTCTTGTCATGTTAGTATTTGAGTCCTCTTTTTTTTTCTTTTTTTAATTTCTTGTCACTGAAGGGCAGGCAAATAGAAAATAATACTCTATTGTCCTGCAAATTTGAAAGCTCCTCCGCAGTCAATTACTGAAACTCACAGCGCCCTCTGCTGACGGAAATGCGCGAGTACACACTTTCACTAAAACAAACGATAGCAGGGTTTTTTTTTAGCAGTTTAAAATGTGTTGTATTTATTTGTGGGCACCAACCTGTGCGGACAAATTAACTTATCCCTTTAATAATTCTTAATTAATAACTTAATAATAACTTAATAATTTAATAATTCTTTTGTAATTCTTATTAAAAAGTAATGTATTTGGATGATAATAAAATGCCTAATATGAACAATAAAACCACACACACACACACACACACACACACACACACACACACACACACACACACACACACACACACACACACACACACACACACACACATATAAATACTGTATATATACTGTAATACTGTATATGTACACACACACACACATCCTGTATATAGAGAGAGATAGAGGCAGTACACCGTATTGGGTTGGGTAATGAGGTTTATCATGGCTGTATCTATGTGGGTGCTCAGTTTTTGTTCTGTCATTTGAGATTCTGTCAATATCATGTTAGATGAAGTGCTATTGCTATTTAAGACTCTATTTGCTATAGACTCGCCGATAAATGCTAGACTAAGGCACTCTTAAAACATTAGCTTTAGTGTTTCTTGAAGAAAGGAAACGCTGTACCTATAAACAACCAGTTCTTTGCATTGCAAACAAATAGATATGGTCCAAATGTGTGCGTCACCTCAGTCACGATAGAGGCAGGTGGAGTTATGAGGTTTAGTCGCAAGCTCTTTTTTTTTATACTTTTCATTGGTTAAATATTTGCAAATCCCACAGACAGACCTTAAGGGTGACCAATACATATGATTTATTTAAAAAATAAAAATGAATATATGGAGATACACAACTATATTTTACATTTTATTTTAATTTATAAAGTAATTGCCTTATAGAGTTTTAGCAATAGAGTGAAAAAATAATATTATATCTCCTCATTGTAATGATAAATACTAAATACTAACTTATACGTAGCTCTAAACACTTAATATTCATGGCATGCTTATTTTCGGTTGTTGTGCAGTTATTCAGGGTAGAGACATTTGAAACTGCATTCTCTTCCTCTCTCTGTTTGCTTTTCCTCTGGGGAATCCATCAGGCCATGCAGTATATCTGTTTGTGTGTAAAAATGATTACAGTCCCCATAATGACATCAGGCTATGAGAAATAACAAACACAAATGAAAAAGCACTTCTCTTGTTGATGGAGGCACAGTGTTTTCAGGAGAATGACTTAATATAGCTTAATGAAATATTGAGCGGGGTCTGGTATTTTCATTATGTAGGGCTGTGTGTATATCCGTGAACGTGATTAAAGGATAATTTGTTTTATTTTCAATGCAAACTACTAAGACAATATTATTGAGAGTATGGATTATACGATTGTTTTAACTGATTACATGCCTGAACTGTGATTGAAATGAATCAGGGTCTTATGCTCATGCTTGGTGATTGACAGGGTCAGGGTTGCTCACCCTCCAGATGATCACTGGCCCCATGTGGATGGCACATACAAGTTTTGGATTGAAATATATACTCTTCTCCAAGATAAATAAACAAAATAAGAACACCAGATGCGGTTACACAGACCTTCAGATTTGGAAATGAAAAGAAAAAAAAAAGAAAATGATGAGAATAAGGAAAGGAGCAGAAAGAGAAATGCAGAGCATGCTCTTGAATAATGAATGAGCTCTATTGATGACATCTGATATCACGTGACCTGTCAAGTTACCTTTAGTAACATTCATGAGCTGTTTGTACAAAATTGAGAACAGACTAAAGCTACACTGGAAAAAAATTGGCAAACATAATTTTATTTCATTGCTTCTATAGCTTATATGTCATGGATTTTAATAATAATAGTGAATTTGATTAATAATAAATGTATACAAAATGTGTCCTTGATTTCACAGTAACTGCAATCATACACTCAAAATTATTTATTTCTGTTAAGTTTTATGTGATTATGTCTCAACTTAACAGTACAAATTCCTAACGCGTTGTCTAAACACAAACCATTTATGTTAAGCAAAAAATTCTTACCACTTATGTTGAGACTACTTTAATTGGGTCGTTTAAAATGACATAATTCCATGATGTTGAAGTTACATGAACAAATTATGTTTGTTTAACGTAACCCAGTTATGTGGAACCTGCATGTTGACGAAAAAATAAAATAATTAAAGCCAACATATCTTTTTTTTGAGTGAGCACTGCCTCTTTAAATAGCGTTTTCTATAGTGGGGGGAAAGCCTATGGTGATCAGACTGTTGTGTAGGTCTTTCTATAATTCAAACATTAGTTTTGTTGTGGTTGGTTATGATGTCTGATCTTATTCATAATAATGTTTCAAATGAATTATACAGTGGAGTAGATTACCAAACACACATGAACACTTATCCCTGTATGACAGGACATTGTTTGGCATTAGAGAAGCATATTCAATGCATATTTAACCAGTCAGACATGGGAGAGATTTCATATTGAAAAATAAATAAACACCTCTCCTTGCGCACCTGACCAGTTGCATGTGCAACACGGAAAGAGAAGAAAAAAAATCCCACACTCTCAGATCGCAAGAATTTATTATCTCTTTCTATATTAAAACAGCAATGTTTCAGTCATGTCCAATTTTCAGCGATTGAAAAAGCCTGTGAAGACACACTAGCAAATACAAAATAGAGAAAAACTACTGCAATTGTTTGTCATTTTGTGGAAAGTGGACAAAAAAAGGAGAATAGACAGGTCAGTAACGCTTTCCAATGGTTACTAAAGTAGGAGTTTTATTAACTAATTTTATCAAGTATTAAATACTGTAACAAATATTGTTTATAGATAGTGCATAATGTGAACTGCATGTGAACTGTGAACAACCACAATATCTTATATGTCAAATGTCTATGGTTAAATTTACCCATTTCTCATCTGGATTAATTGGGTCTTAAAATAGACAAGGAGATGCAGGCAATCTGTCTCATCAGGAAACAAAACTTAATATAGGTGCTGATTTCGTATGCATTCATATGTCAACCTCTAACCCCATAAACCCAACTGTCAATGGGGCAAATGCAGATCGTACGAATTCAAATCATTGACAAAATATAAAATTGTTATATATGAGAGTGTACAAGCAACAGCATCTTCAGATGTGCTGGCCACATCAGCTGTCACGACAGTTTGTAGCTATTTTACGTTTTGGCAAATTTTGTATGTTTTTATGATCTTACATCCCACAGATAGGTTTAGGGATGGACCTTCATGACTGGTTCTTCTGGCATGGCCAACTTTTTTTAAGGAATGTATTTGACCAATGGCTCTGTCATCATAAACTCTTTCAGGTCAGCACATAGTCTAAAATTTTGTTTATGTTTGTCTTGTTTCGTTGTCTCTATCTTTCTTTGTTTCTCTTTGGATCTTCTCTTAAGGATCACTATTTTTGCTCACAATTAGGATAAAGGAGTTAATTATGGGTGTTATCAGAGGATTTTTTTTTTTATCTTTAATGAATTGTGTCACAGCCATCCTATTAATTTGAGAGCCATATTACAATGGTTGGATGTGCTGTGTCCTAATTTTTGAGGACCCAATGGGATACCACCATATTGAGAGAGAATCAGATGGGCAATGGAAACTTCAACACATTGTCATGAAAAATAATATTAAAGCATGTCAATGCAGATGTTTTCATCTGTGATATACATGTGATAAAGTTTTAAAACTTAAACTTATATGTTTGTGAGAATTACCCACAGTTTGCTGCATGAAAACATATTTCCGCCACATAAGAAAAAAAAACCTTTTGTTAATCATAATTATGTCAAGAAATTATAATAAAAATGTGAGAATCAAACTATAGGTCTATAAACTATACAAGTAGCAAAGTCATTATTATGAGACAAAAATGTGAAAATATGACAAATATTGAGCTGAAATTATTATATATGTTGAATATGACATAAAAAAAACTTTTAGTAACTGACTTTAAAAAAAAAGTTGAATATTGTAGCCTTATAAAAAAAAATATATCATAATTTCATTTGGGCTTTTTATGTAATACAACTTTGTAATTAAGTCATTATGACATACTAATTAATCATGAGATAATAAAAAACAGAATTATGACATGCTAAGTCATAATTATGACATTTTTTACTTATAATTATGACAAAAAGTAGAAATGAATAAGTCAAAATTTTCAAAAATGAAAAAAAAGTCATAATTATATTAAGTCATAATGAGATAAAGTAGAAATTACAACTTTCCGTGTCATAATTATGATTTTTTTTTATCTTATAAAGTAGCTAACTTATGTAAGCTACAATAATTTCGAGCTTTTTTCAGTTATGATTTACAAAAGCACGCTTTTTTTCCCATGTGGAGAAAATGGGCTTCCATATCAGTGCCTTGTTGCAATTATAATGCAAAAGTGAATTGTACTGAAATGTAAATCTTCCCAATGGCACCCCACTAGGTCTGTGTTCCTCTGTGCGACAGTGTACTATCGGACGCTGCTCCAATGCCCTGGATCAGAGCGTCTGTCTCCTCGCAGGACCCGTCCGCTCTACCCACAGTTCCCCGCGCTCAGACAAGATGGAGGAACTCAGCAGCTGCGGGAGAACAATGTTTGGACTCTGAACATAAAAAGAAACGAGCGAGGGGGAAAATACACACTGAAAGAGCCAACGGTGGACATGCACTGGTAAGCGAAATCCTGAGATCAGCTTTGCGTGAAGTTTGATGCGCCGGAAAGGTGCACGCAAGCGGGGCAGACAACAAAGCGCAGCGACTCGTAGTGTAGCATATTAGCCGAGTAGCTTGACGCGGAGCATCAATTGTTCGTTGGAGTTGCATGGTGCTGTTTATTATGGGTAACGTTAAACGCTCGCACAGCCACACCATTGTGCATACTCATTTTGTCTGCATTTTGTTTGAGCATGTGATGTTAAACAAAATCACATTTTACTTTGTAAAGTGTTTTTGTAGTTAATTGTACTTGTTTTTATTATATTTGTCAGTATAAGATTGCATATTGGATGCCCTACACTTCGCCAGTGTAATTTATTTATTACGCGCATCGCTTAGCCGCATAGCTAGCGCGTTAGCGGCGAGGCCCTTTGTGAGTCGGCATGAAGTTATTAATATGGATCCCACCTTAACGGTCCTGCCTTACTAACAAAAACTTTAAACTCCTGCGTTCATAGTATAGACTACAGGGTCCCGGGCCACTGCCTTGTTGCATTTTGCTTCAATATGGCCACTGCGTCCCGGGTTGAGGATCGATTTGATTTGAGTGTGTGGAATAAATGATTTATGTCTCTGATTGATGAGCTAGCTCAGTTGGCTAACGTATTCACGAGCTATTTACATACCATCTGCGTCGCGTGCTGTCTGCGCGCACTCACAACACAAAGAGACGCGAGCTGCGTGAGATATGAGACGCCTCTACTGGGACAAAGTGTTCATTTATTACTCCACAACATGTTTTGGACCCACTTTATATTAAGTGTCTTTAACTAACTAGTAACGTTATATATATAGCCTGCTAACATTTGAAGCAATCTGATACAAAGCGCTCATTGTGTACACGTTTTATAATTCTTGCTTCTGTATGAAACACCTTTACAAAGAACTGATACAAATATGTGGGCCTTCTTTATATAAGATAGCTATGTTTTGAACCCCTAATAATTATCCTATATGTTGGACATGAACTATGTATATTTTGAATGGGCTCCCATTGATCCTTGTAGTTAGACTTCATCTTTGCCTTGACTGTGAAGTGACACGGATGGAGTGGTTTTGACTAATGCAGGGCATCTGGTTCAGATCCAATCCAACAACTCTAAAGGGGAAATGAATAGTATGAATCATCGGATGTCGCATGAATCCAAAGAGCAATTGGCCATTGACTTCCCAGAAACATCATGTACCCTCGGCAAACGTGTGCACAATCATTGAGACAGACAAGGATACTAATCTGCAGTGCTATTCCAAATTTACCGGTTACATTTCATCAAAATACAGTAGTTTTCCAGCATTGTTCAGAATATCTTCTTTATTCTGGATAGCCTATCTTTTACTGTTCATGTTTTACCAGAGGTATGAGTCAGAGTTTATAATGAGATTTATTATTTACCACAAAATAAAGCAAGACTTGCATGTTATTGGTTTATATATATGACAAATCTATTAGTGAATAAACTCACTAGATCCTTTAGAGCGGTTACTGAATCATCATGACTCACCGTCATTACTTTCAATGTTTGTGTGCTAAAAGGATTAGTTCAATCAAAAATGAAAATGGTGTCTTTAATTACTGTCATCATTCCAAACCCGCAAGACGTTCTTTCATCTTCGGAACACAAATGAAGATCTTTTTGATGAAATCTGAGGCATTTCTGTCCTTCCATTGACCGGTACGTAACTACCACTTTGAAGCTTCAAAGAGTTCATAAAGAAATTGTAAAGCTAATCATATGATTTGAGAAGTTTAGTCAAAATTTTCTGAAGTCGCGGTCGCTTTATTTGACAAACAGATTGAATTTAGGCTTTTATTCACTTGTAATAATTGTTTTTTAAACATAAACAGAAGCTCAACCAAACCTTCTTGATGTCATTGGTTGTTGTGGAAGCTCAAACTTGCTGCGTAACACGAAAATGAACCTCATTGGTTCTTGTGGAAGCTCAAACATGCTGCGTAACACATCAGAATGGACTTCATTGTTTTTTGCATGTCAAGAGCAACATGCTTGAGCTTCTGTTTACCAAAACAGATGTGAGTTGATGAATGTTTATATGTCAATAAAAGCCTAAATTCAACAATTTTTCTTTTAAAAGCAATCGAGTCTCTTAAAAATTGTACTTGCTCAATTTATATGGTCTTTTTACAATCTCTTTATGATCTTTTTGAATCATCAAAGTGGGAGTTGCATATTTGTCAATGGGTGAACTATCCCTAAGCCAATTTATGTATTGCATTTCAAACTTATATTATCATTAGGTTGCTTATGACACAATGTAGGTACACATACAAATATGTACAGTAGATTAGGGCTTGTTAAATTTGCAAATTCGCATGGGTAATAATAATGGAAATTTTTGTAAACAGAGCAGACCATAAGTTGGTGTTGGATTCCCAGTCTTCAAACTCATAGTGCTTACACATAAAATAGCCACCAAAATAGATTAATGTAGGGCTCATGAGAATTATTTCTCACATTTTATTTGCACAAGAAGTAAAAGTTTAGGTGGAAAATCCCACAGGCCATCATACAGCCACCAACATTTGTAATGTTAGACAGGTTCACATTGCACAACATCTGTGTTTATATTTAAAACACGCTCTTAATCCTTAACGTTCATTTTGTTTTGCGTATGGCATCTTAAAAGCAATGTCTGTGCATGTGTAAATAAATACTGGTTTCTTCAGCCTGAAAATAGAAATTTACTCTTATGTAATTGGTCTTGGTTTAATTAACACACAAAAAAATGCAAACAATTCTAGTTTTGCTGTCGACAAAAATAATCTTAAAAAATTAGGGCTGTGCAAAAGTTAATTGCGATTAATCGCATCCAAAATAAAAGTCTCTGTTTACATAGTATATTTGTGTGTGCTGTATATAATTATTTTGTATATATAAATACACACACATGCATGTATATGTTTAAGAAAATGTGTTATTCCTATATAAAATATTTATATTTGTATAATATAGATTATGTATTTATATACAGAATTTAAGCGCAAATAATTCTTAAATATATACATGCATGCATAGGTATTTATACAAAATAATTATATACAGCACAGCACATATATTATGTAAAACAGACTTTTATTTTGGATGCGATTAATCGTAATTAACTTTTGCACAGCCCTAAAAATATAAAGCTCTGCTATTTGAACAAGATTTTCGCCAGTAAATGACCTTCAAATGTTAAGCTAATTGAGATGTCTTGTCGCCTATGTTTGCTTTGGACCTATATCTATTTACAATTAAAAATATGGATAGGTTTTAATGTGCCATGAAACTAGCCACTTAACGACTCTATGTAAAGAATGAAAAATAAAATAGTCAATGAGTTCAAACATTGATTTATTTTTGTTTATCTATCTATCAGCAGCTCATATACAGAGTTTTAAATGAAAGTGAGTCTGTGATGAAGCTCTGTTGGTGTTATCTATGACTCCTGATCTTTATTAGTACTAAACATTACTCCTCTTCAAAAGTCATAAACAAATTGTTTCCTGTAGGTGGTTGTTTGTGTGTTAAAAGAAAGAAATGGCAACCATAGTTCACTGTTGAGCAGTCGATGATATGTGTTTTGTGTCTGACCCACAAACCTTTCTGATTAATCCAGTTAGGCGCTAATTGGATCAAAAGAGCATACGGCGAATCTGTTCCTAAGTTTGTCACCAAAAATCTGCACATTACATCATTGCTTTGAGAGTTCCATCAATTTGGTGAACCTCAAACAATTATTGTTTTCTTGTAAACTTTTGTCACAGTGTCCTGGTTTTGAGACTTGGTCTTGGTTCTCCATGGCATGTATACACTCTTGCGGCATTTGAAGCATTTAGGCTACACTGCCTATTAGCAGTCTAGCTTTAAAATATTAGGAACTTAAGTAAAATTCAAAAATAAACTGGAATAAACTGCTTTTATGGGTTTTTTTTAATTGCTGGTATATTTAGAGTGCAGAATGGTTGATGAATATCCACTACTGTTCAAAAAGTTTTTTTTTTTTTTTTTTTTTTACATTAATGATAATGTTAAGAAATGTTTCTTGGACACCAAATCAGAATATCTAAATGATTTTTGAAGGATCAAGAAGAGTGAAAACTGGAGTAATGATGCTGAAAATTCAACTTTGCCATTGCTGGAATCCATTTAAAAAAAATTTAAAAGGCATGAGAATAGAAAAGTAAAATTGTAATTTTTGCTGTATTTTTGATCAAATAAATACAGCCTGGTGACTGGCGAGCATAAAATAATTATTTCAAGAACATAAATAAATAATCTTGCCTAACAAACATTTGAACAAGGGACGGTAGTGTTTAAATAAGTAAACTCACTTATTTTGTGCACAATGAATATGTTACTCAATAGGGATGAAAGATAATAAAGATATTGCTTGATAAGTGAGATCTTTGATTATAGTCCTTGAAAAAGAAAAAGGTAGTGCTTAAAGTCAATTTCATGTGACGGCATCTGTACGAACCGTGTAATTCCTTCTACTTGGCTAGTTGGACACCGTTGTTGGCATTAGACTGTAGTAATGCACGTGAAAAAAATGTCAAATCATCATTTTGTCTCTTTTGATGTCTTTAGGATGAGTGAGGTGGCCTTGCATTGAAGCAGACCCCATCGGCCCTATTCCAGCATCAGTGTCGGTGTGACAACATTCAGAGCCTTGCCCCTTCATCATGAGCCTGATCCAGGACAAACTTGGCAATGAGTTCCTCCGCTCCAATGGTGGCATGGAGCCAGGCTTCGGTCCAGGCATGCTCATGTTCAGCCACTTGCCCCCTGTTACTAGTTTCACCCGACTGGCCAGTCAAACGGTTATGGCCGACCTACAGCCCCACGAGATGATCTTGAAGAAGGAGAGGGACTCGCCGGACTGTGGAGGAGGAGGAGGAGGAGGAGGGATGAGTGCAGGAGGCATGTGTGGCGGAGGTGGCATGGGAGGGATGATGGGTAGTGTGGGCGATTATGTTCATGCCATGGGCATTAAACAGGAGAAGGTTTCTGAACACGATTACAGGCTTCCTCTCTACCCGGGGGGTGGAGGTGGAGCCGGAGTACGAAGTGGAGGAGAGTTGCTGGAGGTCTCGCTGGGCAACCATCAGAACCTGCTGGTGCACGACCTCAGTCTGGGAAACGTAAGTGTGCCAGCGTCTGTCTGTAGAATTTTCGTTGAAGTAACATTTTGCATTTTGGACAAGATGGTTGAACTTCAAAGAATTTTTAGCTCATGTTTTTATTAAAAGGTAAACAACCACCATTGTGTCATTTCCAAGATTCCATTATGAATGTTTTACTTGGCTTCCCTATAAATATATGTGTGTGAATGATCATTTTTATCAAGCTTGTATATTTAAGTTCAGTAATTTCACTTAAATGACAATTAATAGGTAATCTTCATTGTCATTTAAGTGAAATGACTGAACTTTAATATACAAGCTTGATAAAAATTTAAATTCTAGAAGAAAATTTATTATGGCACTTAGAGGCTTTTGCATCTGAACTCTTCATTCATATATATATATATATATATATATATAGACCATTTTGCAAGATGTAAACAACACTGGTCCAGAAGCACTTCCTGTTTCAGTTTTTTAACACTACATAAAAGCTGGAATAAAATACAACCAACAGAACATATAAAACTTAATCAAATTTAAACAAACATCTTTAAGATGTTTTCTTTACATGTGAAATAAAGAAAACAGTTACAAACTGAAACAGGAAGTGTTTCTGGACCATCTTGCAAAATGGTCTATATATATATGAAGAGTTCAGATGCAAAATCCTCTAAATGCCATTTAAAATTTTCTTCTTTAATGATGATTTTTGTCAAACTTGTATATTTAAGTTCAGTAATTCCACTTAAATAACAATTAATAGGTAATCATCATTGCCATTTTAAGTGAAATCACTGAACTTAAATATACAAGCTTGATAAAAATCATCATTCTAGAATAAAATTTCAAATGGCACTTAGAGGCTTTTGCATCTGAACTCTTCATATATATATATATATATATATATATATATATACACACACACACACACACACACACACACACTGGGTTTCATATGTACCATGCTTTTTGCCATGTTGTTTATATTATCATTTTAAAAACACCAAAGCAAAGTCAAAATGTCTAAATTCCCCAGACTCTTGAGTTAATCCAGATTTATAAAGGTCTAGATTCCCTGGAAATCATACGAGCTTAACGCAGATTCCATAATAATAATACTACGTCATTTTGTTTCTGGATGAGTTAGGGGTTTGACTAGGTCAAATGTAACAAGTCATGCTGATGTGAGTGTGTGTGGAAATGCAAAACGGCACCTTGCTTCTCATACTGTGGTGATTATGCCCTTTCCAGGGCTGTAAGGGCAATGATCCCATTTAATCATTATAAGGGCTTATTGATCATCTCATCCGCACTGACGGCTGAAAGGAAATTGGGCTGAAGCATTGAGACACTGCATCTGGCTCGGTCTTTCTATAGTAGCCAAAGGCAGCTAAGCTATGATGATTACTTTAATAAAATTATGACTCATGCTAATTCGCAATTATTTCTAGCAGCACGCTAAGAAATAACACACATGACGTCTTTGTTCTGTCTTTTGCTTTCTGGTCGCGCTTGGTTTTAATCTATCCTAGTAGCTCTTCCTCGTGCTCTTTGTGTTGAAAGAGAAGTAATTTTAAAGATGTCAGAACAGAGCGAAGAGTAAGGTTGTTTTTGTTTTTACTTCCTCGCTATTTTTGTCCAATATGCCATAGCCTTTAGAAGGACAATAAGGATATTCAATAAGGAACTAATATTTTAATCTCCATTCAGGGTGTGTTTTTGTGTGCGTTTGCTCTTGTTTTATACTGCCCAAGTGTGAAACTACTCAGATCAGATGTGCAGCTGGTCAATAATCCACTTTTTTTTTTTTTTTCAATAGATGGTTGCGAAAATGAGAAAATTGGCATTTATTCCCCAGGGATAGATATAGAGGCTCGTAAATACGAGATTTACCACCATGCCTTCTGCCACATGCACATTAGGGAATACTTTTAATATTCAAACTAGACTTTCTTCTATTCTGTGCATATTAGAGAGTTGTGGCTGATTTCTGTATGTGCTTTTGTTTCATTAAAAAAAATTCACAAATGCAGTCTCTCATTCACACAACGCAAGTCTCATGCATACAACACAAAAACCAGATTTGCGTATCTCAAATGTGTGAATGAATGGGGGTTTGTTGTCTTTTATTTAGTCCTCTCCCAATCCCATTCTATCTTTGTTATCCTTCCAGCTGTCAGGACGGCTGGTAAAGGAATCCTCAGGGAGGAAGGGTCGAAGGTCAAACGGAGAGGGGCAGGAGGGCAAGACACGGAGGAAACGAGGAGAGTCGAAGGTGCAAACATGCAAAGCTTTTACATACAACTTGGTTATTAGTGGTAAAATGTAAAGCTTTCCTTTCATATAATAATATTAGTGTTGTCTAATGCTGATCATTGTCTTCTTGTCTTGCAGTCAATGATGCTGGATCCAGATGGAGGGAGCTTGTCTCCAAACTCCAAACCGCACATATGTGAGCACTGCAATGCAGCGTTCCGGAGCTCCTATCATTTACGCAGACATGTGCTTATACACACAGGTCAGCATGCGTTTACTCTTAACACACGAGAGCGTGCTTAAGTTAGTGTGTGTTCTACACAGTAGACATTGGGCCATGCACACCGTGTCATCACCAATCAATTTGGTCCAAGGATTAACAGCCAGTGTTCAGTGGAGATTAAAAGTGTACTTGCAATCTAAAATAGTTGGTTTGTCAAGTTCACAAAAAAAAAAAAAACATTTATTACACAGACAACTCGGATAACTGTTGGGGTAATTATTACATATTTTTAATTATTTAAGGAAAAAGGTTGGCAGAATAGCAATCATATTACATTTGTTTAGAAAAGATGTGCAAGCAATAGTAAATAAGAAATGTACTGCAAACATTAAACGTTTTAAATTTTTATACATTTAAGCCAAATTGTGAAAAAATAGAATAGCTTCTAACAAAATGTGAGAGACATTACATTATATTCATATATTCACATTATATATTGAAGATGAATTATTTTTATTACAACAGAAGAACCTGCTAGATAGGGGAACCTTTGAGTATTGGCATGAACGAAGAGGAACCTTGGAGTCAAAAATGTTGAGAACTACTGCTTTAATTGCACCCAAATCGGGTGCTTCAGTTTTCAATGAGCTTATTGCTCCAAATGTTGGTGCTGATTTACTCTTCAGTTCTGCCCATCAAATGGCTTTCTGAAGTAATTGATTCAGTTTGTAACTGCTGTAATTATTTTTTAAATGTGCCACATTAAAAACCATCATTGCTGTCTCTAGTCATTGCAAACAAAGGTCAATGCTTGACTCCATTTCCTTTACAGGTGAGAGGCCTTTCCGCTGCACTCAGTGTAACATGAGCTTCATTCAGAAATACCTCTTACAGAGACACGAGAAGATCCACAGTGGTAAGTTCCTTAATTTTGCACAAACTTCAGCTTTCATTTCCCTATTTCTATTGTCTTTGTTTGCGACATGTTTATCAAGCCTCATGGTTCTGTTTTTGTTGTAAATTATTCAAAGCCTGTTTGGTCTGCAACTTATTTTTTTTTTTTATGGTTTCCAGGAGAGAAGCCATTCAGCTGTGATCAGTGCAACATGCGTTTTATTCAGAAGTATCACATGGAAAGACACAAGAGAACTCATAGTGGAGAAAAGCCATACAAGTGTGACACCTGCCAACAGGTGAGTTTCAGGCCGTTTCAGCCAGTTCTCTTTGCCCGTGTTGTCGTCTTATGCTGTTGTTCCTTCTGTAGTATTTTTCCAGAACGGACCGGTTGCTGAAGCACAAGCGGACGTGTGGAGATGCCATAAAAAAGGGTGTGGATGGAGCGGAGCACGAGTTGGGCGCAGCGGGTGACGGAGAACACGGCAGCTACGGAATCTCTCAGGGAAATGCGGCCACGCCTGGCCGCAAACGGGGCAAGTCAAAAAATGCTGGTGAGGGGAGTGAACGCAAACGTAAGAAGTCATCCGGGCCTTCGGGGGTGACGCATAGTCAGGGGGCGGATGGTTACGGGGTGCACGACTTCAGCTCACCTGCGAACCACGGGGTCTCAACAACGTCATCTTCAGTCCAGCCGGGCCCCAGCATGCATAGCGAACATGGCCGGGCTCCCAAGATGGCCTTCAAGAAGGGGAACAGGAAGTCCCAGGAGAAGAATGCTCAACACATGGATCAGTCCAAACCAGGAGGCATGGAGCTGCCTGCCGGAGGAGGCTTGGAAGGCCTTGGACTTCTTCCAGGTCCAGGGGCCAAAGTCGGTCACAGCAGCAGTAACTATGACGACGCCATGCAGTTTTTGAAGAAGAGGCGATACCTCAATGTGACAAACAATGGCAGTGCGGGTTCTGGAGCTTCAGACTACGACGTAGGCATCAGTCATCTGCAGTCGCAACCGACGGTCATTCAGGGTGTCGTCTCGGGGGTTCTAGATGGTGACGTTGCGCTAGGCCTTCTGGACTCGTCCCCTCTGGGAGATATAAAGCATGACAAGTCTGGAATCCCAGATGAGGTTCTCCAGAGCTTGTTGGACCACTATGCTCACAAGCACGACGTGTCTTTCGACATCCCCGATCCCCATCACGTGGAGCTCCAGCCAGCCGGCACGGATGCCGCAGACCCGTTGGGACCCGAGGGCTCCCCGTCAAGTCCCAACAGCGGCGACAAAGCCGTGACCATGCACGAGTACTCGCGTTTTCTTCTTCAGGCACTAGAGCGAACCAGTCACAACCTAAACTTCTCATTGGGTCCCAGTCACGGTTCTGCCGTGACTACCACAGGACCGTTTCCTGGGTCTAGCCCACTTTTGTCAGACAAGCATGTGTATACTTCCTCACCTCTCGAGTACTCGTTCTCACAACCAGTCTCATCTTCGCCCTCCCTTTCGTCTGTGCCAAAGTCTCACTTTGGTCTCCTGGAGGGCTCATCTCCTCCAACGGGCTTCCACATGAGCAGCCTGGAGCAGTCTGCGCACACCCAGCAGCTCACACCTTCCCAGGAGCTCACCGAACAGCTGGACAAGCAGCACACCCCCCCTCCGCCGCCTCCACACACCCCCAACTCCAATGCCTACCAGATCGCACCTCAGCCTCCTGACCTGGGCGGTCCAAAAGAACCGCAAGGGCCGAAAAATGGAGCCGCAGCCACCACTGGAGGATTCGCCCAGGATCTGGCCACCCTGGACCCAGCCAAGGCTTCTTATCAGATCGAAAACTTTGCCCAGGCTTTCGGGGCACAGTTTAAAGGGGGCCGAGTGCCCCTGGCCTTTAGCAGTGACTCGGGGGGAGAGGTAAATCACCGCTTACAGACATCAGTCTCCGAATTCTCAGGGTATAGCAGTCTCTTGGCTGATGCCAGCGACCCAGTCAGCAGTGGCTCCAAAACCCCAACAAGCCAAAGCTACAGGTGAATGGGCTCCTGTGCCTAGATGCTCAGATGGAGGTTCCCTATTTTTATTTTGTCATGCTGTCTTTATTTTGTATTATTGTTATTGTTGTTGTTGTTGTTATTATTATTGTTATTATTAATATTGTTATTATTGTTATTTAGTTCTCCTCCTTTAATGAAGTTGTAATGCTTTTAAGACATGTTTTTCGTACTGAAAATACGTTCATATTTCTCTCTCCTTTGGCCTGCGATGCATTTTCCACAATCCCCCCCCCCCCCCCCAATTTCCTTTGAAAAATAAGGAAACGCATCTTTTTTTTAAATTCTCAGCATACTTCTAGTTCTAGTCTGTTAATCAATAGATGGGGAAAAAAAAGTAATAGTTGTTTACTTTTTCCAAAAGTCACTCACATTTTAGTAATCGACTTCGCAAGCATGTAAAAATAACTACGAAATTGTAATGGCAGGGAGTCACCCAGAACTAAAATAGTCTGTTACAATGATTCAAGTATTACTCAGGAAAATGTGTGGACGGCAAATCTATACGAGGGGGTAGCAAGCATTCATCGACCAGGCAGACGTTTTGCAAATACAAAGAGCTTTTTCAGGAGATTTTTTTTTTTTTTTTTATTCTTCTGAACGAGTGCAACAAGTAGAAGACCGAAGCGCTGCCTGCTAAATTACACTGACACCACTTTCCACTTAGCTGTATAGAGATTATGGTACTTTTATCTCAATGTGAAATGCTCACATTCTCTTTCAGTAAGGGCCATATATATATGAATTTATATTTATAAGAATATCTGTATGTAAAATAACATATACTCTTTCTTGAGACTGGCAGGTGACCTGGAGGGAGATAGTTTGTGAAGGGAGGCCTGTGACTGACAGCACATAACAGCCCTTTCATTCTGTCTTGTCTTTTTTTCCCCTTGGATTGTGAAGGCAAGGGCTATACACTAGAGGGCGCTGCATGCGAGCGTGTAAGTGCCAGATCTTGGGATTTTTCTGTGCCTGTCTGGCTTGCTCGTCCCTTTCTCCCTCTGTCCCATCCTGCTTTACCTTCTTTGTCAGAAAGAATCCCATCTAGCACTTTTTTAACCTGTTTATTTTACACGGTGAATGAAACTACCCAGGCTGATGATCACACAGTATGTGAGCTGTGCAACTGACATGATGTTTTTAAAAGGGGACAGTAGACAGAAAAGGGCTGTTATTTTAGTAAGTGTAGGTTATGTCAAAAAGACTAGTGATGAGGTCTTTCTGATGGAAAACTTTAGTTTCAATGGGATGTGTGTGCTGGAATTAAGGTTGGGCTTTCCTCGGGGTGGGAGCGTAGGGTGTCTTTTTTTTTATCTTTTATTCCCAGATTGGATGTAGGGCAGGTTATAGAGGGGGATTTTTTTTTTTGTATATTTTGTGTTCTGTTTTATTTCAAAAGTATTGGTTTGGGAAAATGTGCTATGTGTTGAAATGGCCCCTGTTGTACCGATTACAGTTTGTTTTGTTCAGGCCTTTTACCAGAGGCAACTTGTAAAATGTCCCATTTTTAGTAATTTATATAGTATAGGTCCTAAATATACTGACTTACAGTCCAAAAGGAATTCAGCCAACTTATTGCAGAGTGCATGCAGGGCAAAGTATTACCTTGAACTACATTTTTATACATTTGATTTTGTACTGTACAAGTATTATTGTATTTTTATTTTTTATTTTTTTTGAGCGATCAATAACTGTCTTCCATCAGCGCTGTTGGCTGCTGTTACGCTGTCCTTGAATTCCTGTCATCTAATGTTGTTCTTCCTTTCATGTGTTTTACTCCTTTTGTACCTACCAATACCTAAAAGGACAGAACCACATGCAAGATTGTTTGACAGGCGGCTGTCTCTTGGGGAACACGAACAGACCACTAGGACTTCTTTAGAAATGTTGAGGTACTCCGTTCACATTAATGGTAGTAATAATAACATTAAGCAGTGTGATGACTTGACTAAAATGAAATCATTAAAGCTGATGATTTTATACCTCTTATCACTGGTGACCGAAGCAGGGATTTCAAAGATTGATTTTATGTAGCATGACTGACGTGGCTACCGCTAAGAAACGCCTCAAATAGTCCCCTCACCATCATTTTTTTGTGTCATTACGGAATTGCTTTCGCCTAATGGTAAAGACACTGATGTCTGGACTGTGATCACAGTGTATTTATGAATACAAAAAAGTTTCTTGAAGTTGCTCACTTTGTATTGTTTCAATAACTGTAAGGACAGGAGATCCCAAAGATGCTATGAATTCAAATCCAAGTTTATGCATCACATGCAGATTGTGCACAGCCTATTAGCCGAACTCACCCCATGCCCTGCAGTAATGTTCATTGTTTTGTTTTACGGTTTGCTGTGGGGCTTGGCTGAAATTTCACGTTTTCAGATGTGTAAAGCCCCCTCAGACACTGTCAAGCCTCGATCGAGATCCTTATGTGGCTTGAATAATGCCAGCCATCAATCTGTCAGTGGTTGCCACCACAAAGTTCTCTTGACACTTGTTTTTTGAAATTTTTATTTAGGGGGGGCTCCTTGCTGTATATTCCTGAAAATATTTATTTTGTTTACATACAATTAATAACACTACATTATTTTTCCTCTCCCTTGATGTTCTTTTGCATGTACATTTTTGAAACTTTTTTTTTTCTTTTCGCCCCCTTTTTGTCACCATGCCAAATTTGTAGCTAATTACCTTTTTCTCTCCTGTCTTATTTTATTACAGATTCTTGTGATCTGATTCGCAGGGCTATACCTGTCCATTTTGACTTTATTATTGATTAGGAAAAACAATAAAAATGCTGATATCAGTGTGTTTGGACGTATGGATTTATTTTCATTGTGACGTGTCGTATATTTAGAGAGACATTTTTACATACCATATCTTGTTTGATAAACAGGACTTGTGTAAGTGGGCTTTTTGCTGATGCAGAAGTTTAGGTGAATTTGAATCTAATCTTGAGTCTTGCTCTTTCATCATGTTGACCATAAACCAAGGTGTTCTTGTTACCAGAGTGACAATTGCAGCAAGTAGCCTCTAATAACTTAAGGAAATTACTTAACTTTCTGTAATCAAGCAATAAATGACAAAAGTATCTTTTTTTAGCCTTGGTATCTCATTGCACTACTATATCTGTATCAGGGTGGAGCCTTGTAGGTGCCGAGCTCTGTATGATGATGCTTTCGGTGACTATATGTGTGACGTGCTACTTAGGTTAACTATTTCCAGATAGTGACCCATCCTTGAAATTGAATGGACAAATCGATTTATTTTTATTTTAAATATGCACTTAAATACATTTTTTACGCAAAGATGTATTAAACTGGCCAAAAATAACAGCAAAGACAGTCACAAAAGATCACAAAAGTTTCCTCAAAAATATTTAGCAGCACAACTGTTTTCAACATTGAAACAACATGCAGGTCCCATTGATGCTGGAAATACAACATTTCTGAAGAGTTATTTCACAATATTGTTTTACTATATTTTTAAACATCTAAATGCAGTTTTAGTTTGACCACTTTCAAAAACATCTTATAAATATAAATCCTACACCGACCCCAAACGTTTCAATATGGTAGTAATTCAATCTTTGATGTAACCATGAAACCATGTTTTTACGGTCTATGATTAAAACAACTGTAAAAAATATTGTTGGTTTAACTTAAAAAATGAAGTAACCTGGTTGCCTTAACTTTTAAGTTCATTGAATTTGAAAAATTGAGTTAATACAATGGAGATTGATTTAATCATCAGAAACTCAAAATATGTTATCTGAAGCACATAAATTATCTACGTTGATTTGACAGAAGAAAAAACGTTATAACAAATTATGATATTTTTTTTACAGTGTATAATATAATGCCATCTTTCCATTTCTAGATATTTTATGTTCATTAGTGCGTCTGGTTACATCAAAGTTTGAATTAGTATTAATATTGTTGTTTTTTTCACTTGAGATTTTTTATGTTTATTTTTTGATTTTATATTTGCTTAAGAAGTTTTATAGTTTCTATCTTAATGGGAATACAATATATACTGTGTCCTAACATTACATGATTGTAAAGATTTGATGAAACATTTAGATCACTATCGTTTCACATTTTTGTTGATTTTGGCCTTTTTTGTGGAGAGCTAAATGCTGATCACACCGACAACTGCAGGTCATCTTGGGAGAACAGCTATTTGGTAAAGTTGTCAGACGACACCGCCCTGTTGTCCCTGTTACAGGGCAACCAATCTGATCACAATAATGCCCTCATGGATTTTGTCAGATGGTGTGAGGATAGCTTCCTTGACTTAAATGTGTCAAAAACTAAAGAAGTAATAATAGATTTTAGGAAGCATAGTGAAGAACTGTGTGGGTGGGTGTGTGTGATACTGGTTGGTAAACTAGTGAGTAAATATGAGAATGTGAGTATTTATTTCTTTTATTCATTGTGTGTTACTGTATTTTAACTATTATGGATGGGTTGGCTGTAAAACTGAATTGCCCCTTGGGGACTAATAAAGGTAACTGAACTGATCAAACATTTTCCTCCTATCACAACATCAAGGAAGTTTTAATACAATTAGAGTCAACAGAGATATGCATGACCCTGTTTGTTTCAGGGTAATAAATTCAGCTTCATAATCAACAGATACTTTGTTCATTTTCTTTGAGGAGTGAAGACATTTGAATGTATGAAAAATATGCTTGACATCAAAATATGTTAGGCGGGGATCATAAGCGTGTTAGCTACTTTATTGTTTTACATTTCGTCAAGCATAATAATAGGCTACTCATTTTCAAATATCTTAATGTCTATGAATCTGTAGGCCTAATTAATTTAGAACTGATATCGTCCCATTTAGTGTTACTATAACTAGGGTTTAACGATTTAACACCCCAGACCTATGAAGTTCATCTTATATTTCGTTCAATTGATTGGTGACTAACATGAAGCAGGGTAGTGCTATACGTGGTGCAGACTATAATGCAGTCAAAAGCTAAAGTTCAAGATATACTCGGGCAAAAATGCTTCTGATTGAGTTTTTGTCTCATAATAGCAGGAGTGCGAATATGTTATAATATGTATTGTTATATTTTAGACACAAGCTCAATTTTTCCAACAACAACAACGTTTCCGGTAAAGTGCAGAACTGACGAAACACAGCGATGTTTAGTTTCTGAATGAATTTGCGATGCTCAAAAATGAAAATTCTGTTCATTTGCTCACCCTCACGTCGTGTCAAAGCTTTATGACGTTGTTTCTTTTGCCGAATATAAAATAATATTGTGAAGAATGTTGGTCCAAACGGTTTTGGTCTGTATAATATATCTCAATACCAAATTCAGATGCAGCTTTTGAAAAAAAATTTCATGTGATTAATTAATGATTATTTTAATCAATTAATCGGCGCATATTGTAATTAATTCATTAAAAAAATCTCTTGACAGCCCTATAGTAGCTAATAACATAAGACATATTGTGCAGTCACTCAAAAGGTTTAAAGTCCAAGCACTGTTTGCTTGTATCATTCACGTCACATATTAGATGGGCCACTGTAACTCCGCTATGAAAATGAGCTCTTAAAAATGACTTCAGCATTCTCATCTTATCAGGCAAGTTGTAGGTTTCTAGCAATCCCAATAAGCGCAGGGGCCCAAAGAGCGGCTTTCTAAGAAAGATTTACAGTGAAGGACCAAGTGGCCTTTGTCACCATGGCAGCACACATGTCATAAAGCCATAAAGGTGTATTCTGTCCTGAGCACACCTGATCAAACAGAGTTGTTCTGGTCGAAGGGAATCGTCATGAATTTCAGCCAAGCATCTATTGACTGTATATGAGCCTCCAAGTCTAGGTTGTGGTTTAGGTGGTGTGATGTGATGTGAGAGTTCAAATTCATTTGATCCATTCGTTCTTTATGCACATTTTCCCATTTTGTGATAGTTTTGATGTAATTTGAAGCAAATCCCTGGTCTACTTTGAGGCTTTTGTTTGACTTGCGTCATATGGCAGAGCTACTCATATACTCAACTTCCTTGTGCTTTTTATTTTATTTCAGCATTTTCAGTCTTTTTAATAACAGAATATCTCAACACTTTTAACTCATGGTGTTTAAGATATTGCATCCATAGTTTAGCATCACATCTCAACTGTGTGAGGATGCTTTAAAATTTACGTTATACTAAAAGAAAAGTTTTGAAAGGCTGCTCATTTGTTGTTTCTTTGTTATTCTGATTCCACTCTTCCATTCAAAACAGAACTGTAAGGAAGAAGTGTTATTTTTCTGTGAAAATACAGTCCTCTTCCTGGTTCCCCTGTCCTGGAACAGACTTCCCAGTGGATCTGAACTCAGATTGCATATTGTTTACAAACAAAGGGAAGGTTTTTTTTTTTTTTTTTTTTTTTTTTTTTTATATCCAATAACAAAAACCTTCAGCTTAACCCCAAAAGCCTAAAAATGAATAAAGCTTAAATTTATATTTAAATGTATCATATTACAATTTTTTGATTGTTTGATTGATTGTTTTTTACTGTGTACTACTTCCCCTATTACTAGTAATTACCATAATAACACATTCCCATTTAGAACATGAAACCAGAGCTATTTGATCTGGTTTGTGGAACTATACCGTGTAGAAAAGAGAAAATAACTTCTTGTAGAAACAAGCAGCATATTGAAACTTTATATTGAAACTAATTTTGCAGAACTACCACTTGAGGAAAAGACATGAAAACAATGGCTCAGATGTGGGTCACACTGTCTATTATTGAGACCACTAGAGATATGAGACAGTAAGTATTATAAAAGAATGGTGATACATTTCAGGGAACTTCCATTTACTGCTTTATACGCATTCAATTTATTATTTTAGTTCCTTTTTCCACATTTTACTTCCCTTATATGTCAATAACCGGTAACATGTGGATTCATGGTTCGTAAATACATAGAGTGGGTAGGAAGTGAATTGTTACTTAATTAGTAGTGAAGCTTCAACTTCTTACAGTCACTGGTATGACAGGACTCTCAAATTATGGATGACAAAGAGAACAATCTGTACAAAATACAAGTTCATTAAATACAAGATTATTTAAAAAAGTTACAGTTATTTTATTTTATAGCTTGTATGATAAAACTCACACGTGCCAAATTAATACACGTTTTGCTCAAATAAACAGGCCATTTGAAAATGTCCTCCAATAAGTAATGCTCTTATGATTGAGTCTCACCGAAAGGTCATGTTTCAAAACGTACTATAAAATCTAACCTTTCCGCATGCAAACATCTATTCTTTTAACCAGACAATAAAACATTTTCATATGCTGCGGTCTTCCCATGTTGTGCAACCATTCTTGTTACGATGGTGGCCAGCTCGTGATGATGTGCCTGCATATCATAATACTTGTTTGAAATCATTCCCTCACATTTTCATGAGTACACAGTGGAGTTCTCTCGAAACATACAGGCTGAGGCAGAATGAGTTTCTGTATACTTATTGTGTACACTTTAAAAAATAATCGTGTAAAAAAAACGGTAAACTACTGGCAGCTGTGGTTGCCAGCATCATACCGTAAAAATATGGTGTGTTACTGTTTTTGAAATCAACAACTAAATATTGTTTAGCTATACAGTATACAACCGTAATTTAACAGTAGCAGACAAAATGGTTAGCTGTTTAGCTGTTAATAAAAAATGAGTTACACTGCCAGTAGTTAACCGTTATTTTACACGATTATTTTTTACAGTGTAAAATTCAAGCATTTTAAGCCATAAAAGTTCAATAAAGCTTGAATTTAATCTGCTTCCTCAATTCCTCAACC